TGCAAAATACTTGGTATCCACAATAAACATCAGCATCTCTAATAGTAAACTGGGTATGTGTTTCAGCATAACACAACTGTGGGAATTGTATTTTTGTGTGTGTATGCTGAAAGGTACAATTGATTTTGTGTTGTATGGGTTTTCTAACCTTAGTCCAATAGACTACATTCTAGAACATAATGGGATCACAAAAAGTAAGTTATCTGTAGCATCTTTTAATATGAAGCCAAAAAATGAAAAATGTTCATGAGCTAGAATATCTCTATCCATAATAGTTAAAGTAAAATAAAAATAGTGTACAAATCACCTGCAACTCGTTTCCAGAAAACAAGGTATAAGTTTATTCACTTTCAGGCTAAATGCTGCTCAGTGATATCAAGTATGCATTTTTAAAACTATGTAATTTTGTTTGTTGTCTACATTAAGTATTAATAGTTAATTTGTTACTAACACTAAAAATAGACTACAGCTTTATTCTCACATACCACATTGAGAAAACCTCTTTTTTTCTAAATCTTCCATGTACACCTGAAATGATGACTAAATATGTCTCACAAATTTCACATGGGAAAGTGGTTCCTTAGGGATAATTTTTTTTTCACACATGAACTTGAATATTGCGTTTAATGCATCTGCCCTAACAAATCCTCCAAAGTCCGTTTCCTGCAGAGAACTCTACTTACCCTGATAGAGATTTAGACTTGGGCCAAGTGTCCTGTGAGGGCAGTGATTGTGTTAAATACTGAAAGAAGAAGTGTAGGGAAAGATGTGCAATTCTAATTCTCATCCTTAGACTTCCTTCCCCTGTTAGGCTGTCACCTTGGGGCTCTGACTCGCCTGTTACAAACTGAGCAGGATGTGCATGGTTTCAGAGGGTCAGCTCCTGTTGCCATGGGTTCCTGCTAACTTGCTGAAGGGCATCAGCAAGTCCCAGAGACTTCATTTTTTCCATATCAACTACTGATCAAGTTCTTTTGGAACTGTTTTCTTTTGCAATATCATTTTTTTTGGTGGGTGGGGGCAGTGACAGAACATTTGTCTTATTTTAGACACTGCCCCACAAATGTCTTTAGAGAAGGCAAAATTTTAATGGGAATTATAGGAGGCTAACTTTTATAAACTTGCTTCAAATATTAAGATCAGGTACACAAATCCTTACAAAGTTCCAGGGAAGGTCTTCAGATATGATCCATTGCATTGTTCCTGGAGGTACTTACAGATACCAGATACCATGAATATCTTTAAATAGGGTATTCTCATCTAACAACTATTTAGTAGTCAATAAATCTGTATTAACTAAATTATGGTTTGCTTTAAACCACCTTTATCAGTTTATTTATTGCATAGTAAAGTTGAGAGTAAAGTAGCTAATGTAATACAGGTGATAAAGTAAATATAGTATTTTGACAGTAAAGTATGCAACTTTACTGGGCAATAAATGCTATCGAATGGTAGATATTTATATAGTAGTAAAGTTGAGAGTAAAGTCAAAATAAATACTTCCCCTGTCTTCTAAACTTTACATTCCATTGCAATTCCATCTAAAGTATATATACTTAACACAAGCTTTAAACATTTCTCAGCCAGAGAAAGATTGTCATTAATGTTGAAGAAGGGACAGGAAGGAAAGAGGTGACATGGACACTCGTGTAGGTTACACTGCACACATGGAAAGGAGAGTTGGAAGAAACATCAAGGGATGAAGAAAGTTGAGAGATAATATAAAAGAAGAGATTCTACCCTTTTTTAATCTCATATGACCTGAAAGTTTTCTTTAGAAGGTAATTTGAAAAATAAGTAACACTGACAGTAAAATCTAAGTTCTTTCACTCATTGATATTTATAGTTTGTACATTTACTGATAATTACCTCAATTTTTTAACATTAGAATCTATAGATACTAAGTGTAATAGCATGAATATACCTATCATCATTTTATCACCTAAAAACTGGAGAACCTATGCCAAAATCCAATAAAACATAGTATAGTATTAATCTCCTGTGAGAGCTGCTAGTGATAGCTCAATCATTTTAACATTTCATCGTATATGCCCAGAACACACTAGTCTGAAATAAAGTCTCTTTGAAAAATAGCTTCTTTGGACAATAAAGAGCACTGACTATCATTCTCTATCATAAAGAATGGTGCTGGCCATCACTGTTGTCATATTTTTAAACCAGTCACAGAAATACTCTCTATGATGATCTTGACTGCATTTGTTTTAAAAATCTGTATTAAAACCCAAGTCTTGACACTTTATACTGATTATATTATCATACTCTTCCTATTTTCTGAAGCATTTGACCAAACAGCAAAGTCTAGAAGTTTAAAACACCCTGGACGAACAGAAGACTGCAAGTCATTTATCTGCCTTCTCTGGTTAAGCTTCTATAGGAGGAAAGATTACTGCTTCCCTTTTCTTAAAGCCTCACGTTGCCTAATGAATCAAAACAGCAGAGTTTGTGAGAAAACCACAATTAATGACAAGGAAACACACAAGTCTCACTATATGCATAACTATTAACCTGAAGACCTGGTTAAAAAGGTATATCTAATAAAAAAAACTTCACCTTTACTGAAAAAGGGAGGCAAAAATGTTTCAAAGGCTCTCTCCAAGCAGGTAGGTGTGCCTTCTGGATCCTGCTCTGATGAATGCAATTGTTTTGAATTTGCCTCTACATCAGAAGGTGCCTATTATCCATCTCTATATTAATCTGCCTTTACCGTAACAGACAGATCGTAGTCAAATAAGAATGAGAATTGAAGCTTAATGAACTTCTTGCTTAGCTGGGATGGAGCAGGGGAGTGAAGAGGTTAGGTGAACGCTGGTTAGCCTTCAGTGTCCTTCCAATGTTCTCAAAGACGGACAAAATGACTGGTTTTGGCATGCAGGGGCCAGCTTGCTCAGGAAATTGTGGCACAAATAAAACAAAGCACATAAAAACACTCTCCATCCAGGAAGCTGAGGTTAACAATTGCCTCATTAACAAGATCCAGGGAAGGACAGGAAAAGAGGGGGAAGCCAATAGCTGATTATTATACAGTTTTAGACAGATGAAGCCCTTCAGCTTCTCCCCAAACAATCCCTGTAGTGTGGATTTGACAAAGTGGCACATTTAAGAGGGAACTCTCGCCATCAATGCGAGTCAGGCACACCCGTGTATGAGGGCCAAATTCAGTCCCTGGAACTTGACTTTATCAGTAGACACAAGACAGAAGACAAGGCAGCTACGTCCACAGAGAATTAATTAAGAGCAAAAGCAACATCCAGTGAATGTAATCAATAGTCTGAACACTGATCTACATATCAACCACTATTGCTTTCTCCCCTCTTATTTCTCTTAAATTATTTACACCAAGATGCTCTTATAACTACTGTTTCAATAGAGATTGATTTGCTAGTTGGCCCAATTGACTTTATATGTTTTCACATGATATCATACAAAATATACCCCTCATTCTGGGTATATTTTGACCAAATATCCTGGTGCCAGTTTCAGTTTCTGAATGTTGAAATCTTTTGGGGTAGAATTTTGTAATGGATAATTTATTAGTTTGGCTTTCTCCCTGTACATTTCTTCACATACATATGGGAGGGATAGTCATGTAAACCTGACTTCAGAATTGCCAAAGTCCACACCCAAATTTGTCTTCATTGGCTAATTTTGTTTTGTCTCTTTTTAAAATTGTCCCTTATGAACATACCATAAAGCCCCTCACTAATTACTACAGTGTAGCTTGTAAACATAAAATACTGACTTAGCACAGCCTTGCCAGCAATAGCATTTGTTTCTTATATCTGTCTCAACCCCTCCTCTGCCCAACATATATCCAAAACACATTGCAGTTCCCTTTTTGAAACCAATGAAAACAATCATATAATTTTTATGTTGCTTTCATTCCTGCTGGGCAATAATACAGGTCTCATTACCTTAATTTTTCAAAGGCTTACCAGAGACATCATTTTTCAAGACCAGGTTCTTGGTTAAGTCCTTTAGAAAAGATTCTGATTTCTTCTTGAATCTGTATCTGTGCTTTGTACGAATCTCTCCCGAGCAGCACTGAGACCAGAGTAATTTGTAAGTCACGGCCTTTACCTCTGGCTTTACTCAAGCTCCAGTAATTCAATAGCAGCCTTTATTGCTTAAGGAAAATAGGAAATTCTGCCTTCTGGACATAAACATGTGAATTCTCTATGTCCAGGATTAAAAGAGTGAAAAGGGCAGATTTCACCAACATTTCCATAAGAATAAAAGTCTCACTTTTAACACATGTGGATTATCTACATGTGTAATGCTTTGATCAAGAATCACATTTTAGGGGTCTATTTTGTGCATAATTTTGGATTGCCATTGGGTCTAATTTTACAGATCTTACTTATACCACACTCCCTTTGCAACAGGCGAGAGTGTGACTTGAGTAAGTGTCATAAAACCAGAGCCCAGTTTTCCCTCTGACCATAATTGCATTTATAAACAGATGTGTTTACAGAGTTAGCACCAATACAACCTCAGGATAATCTGAAATATAAAGATGCCATAATAAATGAAACATTGAAATGGAAAAAAGGAGTTTACTGAGAAGAGGTCAATGTCTTCTTATTCAAAAACTAATAGGCAAGCATAATTTAAAAAAATAATGATAAAATGTAGAATTATTACTGACACAATGAGAGTGTAGGTATTAGTGGCCAAAAAAGTTGATGAGCTATAGAAGCATATGCTACCCATATTTTAGGCCCACTGGAAACAGCTAGTGTTCAACCAGTTTGGTTTTTATATGGCCTCAAAAAATATATATCAACTATGATTTTTACTCTACAATAGAAAATAATTACCTGATTATTGACCAAAAAAATGAAATGGAGGAAAATAAAACAAACAAACAAACAAACAAACATACCATGTTCACAAACAAAACAAAATAATTCTCTCAGGGACATCAGGGAAGGTGGAATACTATAACAACACATGTTCTATTGTTATACTATTCCACCCACCTTAATGAGGAACCCTTGGGCGTTGCTACTCCATAGCCTTTCGAATCCAGATTTCCTCCCACTTTCATCGTGTCACACGGCTTTCGCTGCTCAATGTATTCATTCATAGTGGACTCCAGGAGAAAGGCAAATTTGCCCTTGGACTTGCGGACGCGAGCCACTCCCTCAGCTGTAGTCCTAGTGAACACTGACGGCTCTGCGGATCGCATGTAGGTCCACATCTTTTCATACACTGCTATTTTTGATCTCTGGAGAAAATTAAAATAAAATTAAATACAGGAAAGAAGGGAAAACATGTTATTATTGATAGAACTAAGATAAGAGCAAAGCCTTTTAATACCTTTCCATGGCCCTCTAACTCCATTTTGGCATAATAACATTATTATTTTGTAATTAGAAAATAGCCTTTTACAGGTCTTTAAGGAAATCACTGAAATGACATTTAAAAGTGATATTTGAATAAGCTGATACCTCTTGTCATAATAATTATCCTACTCAACTGCTTAAAGAACAATTTGTTATTTTTAAATGCAGAAAGCCATAAACAGAGTTGAACATTTGAAATCATATTTTGTATCACATTTATGGAAACTTGAAAAGGACCAGGTAAAATTTAATTTTAGCTTTGTAAAATACCTTTTGATACTGTACTTGAATTATAACAAATAAGACTTGCTGTATTATTTATCTTTCTTCTTGCCTCAGAGTTTTATGAAAACCATTCTTATACGATGTGTACAAAAAGTGCAGTCTATCATCAGGAGTTGAGCCCAAGAGAAGAATCACTATAGTTTACCGACCAAATATCCATAACACAAGAGTCAAACTCTCAGTCTACCAAAACCTTTTTAGACTTTTCCTAACAAAATCTCCAAATAGAACATACATTAAACTTTAAAGAGAGGTGATCCCTGTTTTTCCACTTTATATTTTGGAGAGTTAGTCATTCTGACTCCCTGATTTTGGCCAAAAATTTTGTTTATTTTTTGTGCATTTGGGCTTTATCTGCATTACCATCACTACTTACTTCTCCCAGGCCTGTTTGCTGCTATCTGCATTGATTTAGAATTGTTTCATCCACATAGACATTTTAAACATGAAAATATATCCAAAAGAAAACAAACATCCCCAAAGAATACATTTGATCAGATAGAAATGGCTGACCCTGTCTGATGTCTGATATTATAAGTCACATGCAGACTGTTATCTGGTGCAGCTGTGTTTGTCCAATAACGAGGTGCCGAAATTTTGCATCTGGATCCAGATAAAAAGTAAGGAGGACTTCATTCAGACTTAAATCTATGCATGAGGCAGAACCCTGATCAGAATGTGCATTTATTTACACTGACCTTCTTTTGTTTACGAGAATATAAAATTCAACAAGTACCAGATCTTCAAAAACCAAGTATCCTGAATAGCAAAACTGAAGAATACATAGTTTAGTGCAAAAGCAAATCATTCAGGTGGACAAAGAGAGAAGCTAATAAAAGTTGTAATCACAATTTTGGTTTTATAAGAGGGAAATTAAGTCAATAAACCCATATAATAAGTGACTTACAATAAGAGATGTGCTTACTTGAACACCCTCCCCACCAAAACCCCAGATATTTTATATTAATGGATAGTCAAATGGTGATAAATATAGAGATGGGATATAGGCATCCTATAGTGTCCTACAAAATGTTTTATGTCATTAACACTTAAAAAACTCCTCATGATACAGAGACTGCGGTGGGTGGGTGTGTTTAGATAATGGCAGGTTGCTTTTGGCTGCAGAAATCCTCCCATTGGGAAGTTCCATGCCACCACTACAATTCAGTTGCAGATTCCATGTGTATCCAGGGTAGAGGAGTGTCTGGGGTCAGAATGGGGTCTACTACAGAGGCTATGTTCCCAGGCCTCTTCATTTCAGCTTTGATAATTGCACTCTGTCCCAGAGAACTAACTCTTTCATTGTACAGCAGGTTTCATTCTCTGAAAATTAAAAACTCTCTAGGTTACGTGACATAGGTTGTCCTTAAATACCTATTTTGATCACTTTAATTTAAGGAAGAGTTGCTACATATCCTTTATGCATATAATGACTTTGAAAAATATTTATAACTTGAGAGTTTCACCCAAAAAGATAGAGTTGCACATATATTGTATATTTCATATTATATACATTGTTGAAAACAAAAGAAATGAGGTCAATGTGGGTATTATTTTAATTGAAATGTTTTAAAAATATTTTTGAAACCATGCTAGTTACTTGACAATTTCTCAGTTACTGTTCAGTATCTTATTAAAAGAACAGGGAATAGCTAAATGAAACTAACATAGCAAAATGGAAAAAAGTATTTTTAGAGTTTAGTAATTATGAAAATAATTTAACTATAGAATGAAGCATAGCATTAAAGGAAATAATTAGGGCATTGATATTTTTTTGAAGTCCATTTCTATATATTATTGCTGCCTTTGTTTAAATATAATGAATTGCATATACCTTAAGTTCAAAAGAAGCTGAATTAATTACCCTAAAATCTGGAAGAGGAATTCACAGTGTGGTAATGCTAAACTTAGCAGGCCTTAGGTATTAAAGAAATGGCAAAATATAGATTCCTAGTGAAAATGAAGGAAAGATGAAAACAATTTTTTAAAAAAACATTTACATGATTTATCAGCATGTTGATATTTAGAAATTCTGATCTGAAGGCATGGCTTAGATAAGATCACATTCCCATGGTGATGTGCAGGGCTGGAACATCCCTTTACCTTGTCTGTGACTTCAAGAAGGCATTTGCTAAGGGGTGAGGACAAGCAAATCTTTATAAATTTGATAAGACAGACTAAAATAAGGACATTTCTGCAGACCCAGCAAGCTTATAAATATAATGACAATGGGACTTTTAAGTCCCTAAAAATTTCAACTGTGTTATTTACTTAAAGATCAAGGTTGGAGAGTAATAGACTCAAGGTAATAAATAAGCAATCTTAATATAAAAGTAATTTTTTGAGATTAGAAAATTAATCTCAGATTTATATATTTCAATTTTATTGTTAAACTCAATACATGGGACACTTTCTGATATAAAGCACCATTTCATTATTAGGAACAAGTATTAAAAAGGTGCTGTCTTTTAATTTCTCCTAAGTTAAGCATTCAGCCATTTCTGTCTTTAATAGAAAGTATGTACAAATGACATTCATTATAGTAAATATTTATGTTGTTAACAAGTAAACTATTTCCTGTTTCCAGTTCCCTAAGCAGCAAGACCGAGTAAGAGCTCATCAACACCCTACCTGATAATATTATAATGCCTGAGGTAGTAATCTACCTCATTTATGCATTCATAATTTTACTGAGACTGAAATAAATGCAGCATAAGATTTACACTGAAATGAAAATCAATGTATTCAGATATGGTATATAATAATATCAAAATACCTAAACAGCAAAACTACCATTAAGTGACAAGTAGAGACTGTTTAAATGCCTCTACGTTTATGCTTAACTAAGATGCACTGAACATGATCCTGTCAAGTTTCATAATGAGACAAAACCAAGGCAACAGTGGAGTTCAGATGAATTTTCCCCCATGGCCTAATTCTTTTCACAGTTGGTTATAACTATGACATTTTTTGAAGTGCAGAGTACAGGTCACTGCCTGAGGCAATTGAGTGGGGCTGATAGATGTACCATTACTGTGTTCCTATGAGAAAACATTTTGACAAGTACAAAAATACCCTTCACATTCTGTTTCCTCAACCTGTTAGACAAATGGTTTATTTAAACCAGGTCATCATCTATGGGAAAGGGAGGACACAGGGACAAAATGAATGAGATTTTTATCAGAGCTCAAATTTATACATTCCGAAAGTGTGCTGCAAGGGAAAATAATTTTCTTTTCCTATTAAGGTTCAGACTGTCCTGCAACAATAAATACTTATTCGTAGAAAACTCTTTTAGTTCAAAAAGTGAACTTGGGTGGGACAAAAAGGTCACAGGGCTGGTGAGTGCGCAGCTTATATGAAAGCCTGTGTAAATCCAGGGAGCAAGTATCCTTATTCTTCTATTTCTTATCAATATATTCTGTTACTTCCCTTACCAGGTTTTAGAACTTAAGCAGTTTTTTTAAAGCTCTATAAAAACTAGAAATAAATATTTTCATTGTGCTTGATGCCAAAGAGTTTTACAGTGAGTTTTTAAAAAATGGTTTCAAGGAATCAATGTTTTTGAAGTGCTTTCAAGACAGAATGGTGAATCTGCAAATAAATGTTTTGTTTACTTGAATATCAGCCATCACTTTTTCAGTAAAATGAGTTATAGGCAAACTTGTATTCTGCTTTGGTGAGTATAGATTATGGTTTCTAGGCAAATTTACTAAATTTTACCTACCTATTTTTGGTGGACACAGTTATCAACTTACAGATTTCCAGCATGGTACTGAGATTATGCTAAAATGTGTTAGAACAGCTTGTTTCCAGTATTAAGCTTTATAGACCGGGATACACTCAATAAGTTAAACCATTTTGCACAATTACATCTACTCACAGAATATTGCTAATAAAATTTATAGTCATGACCATTATTTACAGTTTTAGAAAAGTCTACAACTGATTTGTAATTAACTTATAAATTATATGTTATCTCTACCAGCCGCACTCACACTGTTGACAAGGCCGCTACTCACTGTCTGGAGTCTTTTCAGAACAATGCTCGGTGATAGTTTCGACTGAGCTTTTGAATGATTTGTTTTCAGATTTATGGAAACATAAATGTAAACATATGTAAATGTTATGTAAACATTATCTGTAATATGTAAGGATATTATAATCAAGTCATTTTTTAAAAGAGAATTACCTTACCGAAATTTTAGTACACAAAAGTTAAGGCTTGGTTAAGGAGTGGAACATTTTGTTGCATTTAATTCCTAAGACGAGTGAGAAAAATGATAAATATATGCATTTAAAATGAAAGTGTAATCTCTCAAGTACTGTATATAAACATGAAACTTTCTTTAAAGGGGTATCATTTTTCCACAGAAGCTTAGGAAAATATATCTTGTCTTCTTCAAGCAATTGAAAGTAACACAAAATGTTTTCATTATTATCTGGTTAAAATTTGTAAACATATTACTCTGACTCTTTTTAAAACTTTTAGTAATGAAGTCACAAAATGAATTCTGATCTCTGATGAGACATTACCAAGTGTGTATCTCTGGATTTACATAGAGCTAGAATAATAGAGATTATTGATTAAAAAATTCATCCTCATAATTAAACAAGCAACTATAAAAATAAAAGCAAAAACAAAATACCTACCATCCCAATGGCAAGCCAAAGGGATCATATCCATATGTAAAGTGCAATTACTTCAATTTGAACAATTTTATCTGCCAAAGTACAGAAATAAGCACAAAATTCCATAGTGTCTTACACAGGTGTCCAGAACTTACTAGTTTTTGCCTCTATTATCTTGTGAGAATGCACATATATTGCTTTGAAATTCACCAGGCTGGTGTGGCTCAGTGGATTGAGTGCTGGCCTGCCAACCAAAGGGTCACTGGGTTTGATACCCAGTCAGGGCACATGTTTGGGTTCCAGGCCAGGTCCCCAGTAGGGGGCACATGAGAGGCAACCACACATTGATGTCTCTCCCTCCTTTTCTACCTCCCTCCCCTTCTCTCTAAAAATGAATAAATAAAATCTTTTAAAAATTAAAAAAAGGAAATTCATTGTTACAAAGAGATTATAGAATTACATACTTCATATAGGGAGGATAACCTCCAATTAAGGTTTTGGACTTCACATATAGGAAGTTAAATGTAGTCTTTTTAAAAAAGCCTTGCTTTTATTTTTAGGCCCTTAGCCCCAAAGCACACATCAATGTACAAATTTTCCAGATGCAGTATCACAGCATTACCAGCAGTGGAATCTTTTTGTTAGATAGATTATCTTATAAAGTTGTTTTGATTACCTTTTTGTTGTTATTCCTCCTTAGGGAGGGCCCCTCTTGCAATGAGAATGAATCAGTTGGTTTTTGAAAATTAAAGTGATCATAAAATCCACGTAGAAGTATTAGTATTAAACATAGCAATTACCACTGTGTATGCAAAAGCTATAATGGCTAGAGCCCATCATATAATTGTTGGCAAAATTGCCTGAATTTCAAAATTATGAACACTTCATTGTTAGTTTTTTCCTTAACTTACTCTGAAGAATTCTTTTGTTGACCCTGAATCCAATGTTCCATAGGCAATTTCTGTTTGTTTGGCCAGGTCTTCTGCACTTTCTATGGGGGAGACCATTCGCTCCACCGTCAGGAAAGCAGCGAGGTTAGCGGTGTAAGATGAGATAATGATGAGCGTAAAGAACCACCAAACACCTCCAACAATTCGACCTGAGAGGGATCTAAACATGGATAAGATAATGCACATTTTCCTTTCTCTAATGACATAGAGAAAGAAAAAATACCATCAGTTCACCATATATGCTTAAAAATAGCATTTGCAATATTTTATTTCCTGATAATTTAATCAACAATGGTTCTAGTATTTCTGTATATGTTGATGTTGCTTATGCTACATTAAATGTTTAAATGCCACTGAAAATATGAAAACCTTTTACTTTTTATTGTTTAATTGGCAGAAATGTGAAACTCAATACCTTTCCTTTAGGTACAGAATACAAATGCTTACTTAAAGTCCTCCCTTATTAACATTTTAGCATGTCTGATACTAGAATGAAGCCTACAGTTGAGATGAAACACAGTATTATGGCTTAATTGGTAGCAGTTTTTCTCTTGGTGGTACATAAAATAGCAATATGTCTTAGGAGTGGGTGAGGTCTTAGATTTGATACAATCTGGTAGATGCCTTTCTGCTTTTATCTTAAGTCAGAGCTCTGCCAGGATGGATGGGACACATGCCAAGGTGGGGCTGTACCAGATGAGGATCTAGGGTTATTCTCAAAGTAATTGGCCTTGCAGGTTTGTTGATAACCCATTGCTTATGGGAGTGAAAGATGAGTTATGTCCTAAAGAATCTTTACATACTGCTATAAAAATGTTTTCTCTGTCACTGCCTACATGAGACCAAAGTTTGTGTCTTGTTAATATGTAGCAACAACATTAAAAGCCGATGCTAAATCTCATAAAACAAAGTTTTCTTCTGACCCTTTCTCTGGCTATCAGGGATGTGTGGGTAACTGTGAATGCAGAGAGAAAGTGAGAAAGGGATGAATGAAAAATTCAGGGCAGATTCAAAATTGATCTCACTCATCGGGAGCATCCGGAGATTTTAAATTCCTGTGACAAATTGTATTTAAATATTTTGTTAAATGTAAGGACAAATATCATGTTTTCCATGGTATTTCTAGCTTGAAAATGCTCTCATCTTAATCAGTATGAGGTAAGTGGCACCTTTGTTTTAACTTAGTATTTCCTTAATTCTGGCTTTAAAAACCATTACTCAATTTTCTTTGATTTTTTTTCCAATTGATTAACTGTGAATTATTGATTTGTTTCCATGTTGGAGTTTAAGCACATTTATAGTTTTCTTGGGTCTTAAGGAACACAAACTGTGTTCCAAACACATACTGTGGCTAAATTGTCTTTTTATGAGAATCTATACATTTCTTTAAAAAAAAAAACATATATTTGCAATGCTAATAAAGGTCACTATTTAGATTTAATACTCAGTTTTCCTCTCTTCATCTTTTTCTATGGACAAAATTAATGTTTTTCTGCAATAGGAAATTGGCTGTACTTTTGGCAACTCCCCAAAAAGATGTCTTAGTGGCATCCAAAGAAAGCGAGAGATGAGTCCCCAGAGAGTGAAAGTTGTCTCTATGAGACTAATATAGTATTTATATTGCTGACTCATTGCCTACTGCTTAGCTTGTTATGTGCTCTCATACAGAACAGTGTTTACCTGCCACCTACCAGGCAGACTCCGTTTTTAGATCATGCCATGGCAGAAATCTCCCTTAAGTTACATGGGATGTTAATCAAATGCAAAATTAATTTTTAAAAATTAAGAACAGCAACAGAACCAAAAACACTTGATTTTGAAAAGCTGATACAATGAACATGAATTCTGTTTTTACAATTTAGATTTTAGTTTCCATCTGCAAAACCATTGAAGAAAATATTAATACTAAGTAATTTTTTAGAGTTCTGATGAGTTGCTTATGTTAATTTTCCATTGGGATGTATCCATATTTTATGCTAAGTTTGAATATTTGGCTATGGATATACTTAGATTAATTTGAGAACTGCAAGTTTTTTTCTGTGTTTCAAGTAATGCTCTGCCTGGGTTGTGCAGGGGGAGGGGGCAGGAACATGTAGAAAGATGTCCTGCACAACACAGAGTTACTGGGGAATTGGTGAAGAACTGTTGAAACTAACCTGGGTGAAATGTCACATCCTTGCTGCATAAAAGCACCCAGGGAAAACCAGAGGCTGTTAAAGATGCCAAACTCGTTGGGAGGTTGGTCGCTTGGTCCTTCCTTTCCGTCCTCTGGCTCTTCTGTGTGCCACTCATATGGACTAAACCTACTAACTAGGAACAAGACCACGCTGACACCAATGTAGGCAAAGACTATGCACATCCAGATCTCATAGGCCAGAGGATCCAAGAAGGAAAACACTCCTGGTTTAGATTTCTGAGGCTTTTTGATCATAATAGATATGCCCAAACTCATGAAGGGCTTAGAGAAGTCAATGACCTCCTCTCGGACCAAAGTGATTGTCAGAGGGGCAATAGCAATCTCTGCTTTCTATAAGAGAAAAGACACATGAAAACACATAAGTTAATGGATGTCATCAAGCAATTAGCACTGGACTGAACCACTCAAAGCTAACCAGTTACAATCAATTCTACAATTTCTTTCCTGAATGCCAACAATGAGTAAGGCCAGTGATAGATACAAACAGTTGACTTGTTTTTGTGACGTAGTATATCACTTAAATTGCACAAATTATTTATATTGTTCCTAGTACTTAGATAAAAAAAAGAAATGGAGAAACAGTAGACATAGGCTAAAATAACTTCAACTTAAATTACTGTATTAGTCTTTAAGGATCTAGGACAGCAGGAGGAAGAGACTTAAAAGCTTTTCCATATGGCTGAATTTTTGTATTTCTTGGCCAGGAATGACATGTTGCCATCTTTCCTGATTCATTTGAAATGCTGCCACTGATTCAGTACTTGGCCATCCCTCAACACTGCATTGCAAATTTCAAACAGTCCTTTCTTTTTTATTCCTTTCCAGCTATGAGAAAAGTTATAATAAAATCTGTTTTGTAGGCTAGAAAAAAAACTGTTTGATAACATTTTCCAATTAAGTGCACACACAAAAATCTGGAAATTGGTATTTGTTTCTTCCCATTCACATACTTTGATTTTTCACTTTTAGCTTCTAAAAAAGGTATTGGAAAGCAGTGGATTCAATTCTCCATATTACGATCATAACATACCAGCTTCCACTTTTGTTTTGTAATTTTATCTATTTGTATGGGTCTGTTTCCATATCTCTAAAATGAGAACACTTTCTTTTACCTCATTGTATTATTGTGATTGTTTATTTAAAAGCCTTAATAAAATAACAATGAGCATTTATTGAGGGACACTAATGTGTCTGACACTAATCTAAATATTTTAAATACTTTCCCATTTAACCCTCATAACAATCTTTTTTTATAGACATTAATCTAAATCTTTTAAATACTGTATTTTGCTATGTATAATGTGCACTTTTTGCCCAAATTTTTGAAGGAAAAATAAGGATGCACATTATACATGTGTAGTACTCATTTGCATATCTATATAAATGTTAATTCTTTTATTTATGCTTATGTGTTAAAGTGTTACTCTAGAAAGCAATAATGATAACTGCATGCAAAATAATACCTTGCAATATGATAATTGGTTTTGTTTCTGAATATAAACAAAAAAGTAAATTAAAAAATTAAAACAAAAGATTTTTTTTTCCTGAAAGTTTGGGCCAAACACATGGGTGTGATTACACATGGGAGTGTGTTGTATGTGGCAAAATAGGGTAGCTTTCAATTTAACCTCATAACAATCTTGTGTTTCTCATTGTTTTCTAGGTGCTGAAACTGACACTCAAGTGAGTTTTACACATTATGACTACGATGCAATTTAACTTTGTGCTTCTTCCATTAAATCACACTATCTCTAAAATCAAATGAAATGAAGTGTGGTGAAAAAAAACTGTAAGCTGTTACATGATCAAAAATGAAGAAAAAAAAGGTTTGAAAGTATTTGCCATTAAAATGGAATTTGAAATATACCCAGACATACATGTTCTTACATAGAGGTTGCCTCTCACACTCATGCCTGCATATCCTCAGGCCCCTGGTTCCATGAGATGGCAGCAGTTTGATGAAAGGGTGGCTGGATGGTTAGTCTGGCCATTGTGCTGTCTGGCCAATGGCACTCGGGCCTTTGTGCTGTCTACGGGGTGACTGGAATTAACTGTGCATGCCTCCAAGTGGGAGTAAACCTAGTTCACATCATAAACGCCCACAAGTGTAAAAGCCAGAATCACTCCTGGGAGGTTGTTAAATATTTTCCCAATAGCTGTTTTACATAAGTGATATATGAACTAGATACAGAAACATTAGTATATAAACACAGAACTAGAAAATTAACTAGAACTAGAAAATGGGAAGTTATTTCCATTCCCCTCTCCTACTATTATTTTTATATTATATATGCCCTTCTAGACATTGTTTATAAATAATATTTTTCTTATTTTAATATGGGACAATACAGAACATTATATTTTATAATTATTTTTCTCCTTTTAAAAGAATATGATAAACTCATTTTCATTTCAAAATACATGTTAAATTAGTTTTAATGATTGCAAATATGTGAAAGTATCATAATTTGCTCAATTTATTATTTCAGAGGATATTTGTATTGTTTCCAGTGTTATACAATTTACAACATGAATGATGTGAACATCTTTGAAGACAAATCCTTGCACATATCTTAATTATTTAAAATAAATTTCTAGAAATGGGATTGCTAGTCTAAATGGTAACAATCTTTTTCTAAAAGAAATGTTCTTTTTTAATAAAGATTTTGTTTGCTTGTTTGTTTGTTTGTTTTTAGAGAGAAGGGAAGTGAGAAAGAGAAATGTAGATGTCTGGTTGCCTCTCCCACATCTGCTACTGGGGACCTGGTTCGAAACCTAGGGATGTGCCCTGAATGAGAATCGAACCAGTGACCTTTTGGTTTTCAGGCCAGCACTCAGTCCACTGAGCCACACTAGCCCGGGTGGTAACAATCTTTTTAATACTCATAATATGTTTGTCCAACTTTTCTGGAAAGGTTATGCAAAATTTCTACTTTCATCAGCACTGTGTGAATGTACCTGCAGCTTTAAATATTGGACACCCCCAGTCTACCCCCAGTTTATTCTCATTTATCTCCACCAGTTTGCTACATGGCAAATTAGATCGCATTGTACCAACTAAAATTTGTTTTTATTAAACAAATAACCACTTTTGCTTTTTTAAAATGTATTACCTGTCATAGTCTGCCTCTTCATCACATACAGGGTATTAATTTTCTTACTAATTTGTAAGTGCTTTTAAAACTTTTCAAAATATTCTCTTATTTTCCATGTATGTTACAAATATTTTCCCTATTTATTAATTGTTTTATTTCCAAAACTTAGATCAGTAATTTTTAAGCTTTTTCATTTGATGGCACATGTAAACTAATTACTAAAATTCTGTGGCACCCCCCCAAAATTTTTATATTTTTGTGCAGATATGACAAAAATAAGTATAATTTTTATTCATTCACACTGGATGGCTATTGTTGTGTTGGTTCTTGTCAGTTCTTTTTCTTTTGATACTCTAAGGAAAAAGAGATCAGTGCCTTTTGCCACACACCAGTGTGCTGTGGGACACCAGTTGGAAACTATTTACTTAGTTTGTTGGGAACCACCCTGCCTGGTACCAAAAGCTGTAACCCGCGCCTAGGCTAAGGCTAAGGGAACGCCCTTGGAACCGTAAGCCAGCAAGGAGACAAAAGCTTATCTCCCTGGCAGGAGCGCTGCTTTTGCTGCTTCATTTATAATTGAACCCCAAAGCTTGGTCGGTTAGCCAAAGACGGGTAAGATTCCCCAAAGGGGGAACGACCTAAGACAGGCACGATCACGTGGGAGGCCCCCAAAAGAAGGACTTTGGGGGCTACAGCAAAAGAGGGTGATGGACCCTCGCTCCTCGGCTTTGCCATAGCCCGAGTTCTCATTGTCTGGGAGAAAATCTCTTTATCTCTTGGTTGCCTTAGTTCCCTTGCTCCACCTAAGCCTGAAACAATGACAGGGTGGTGCAGCTCTGTGCTGCAAAGGGTGGATTCCCCTGGTGATCAGGCCTAAGAAAGGACATGTAGATTACTGTGAAAACTTCTTTATTTAGAATGCTCTCAGTTGAATGAGAAGGGTCCAAGGAGGAAGTTAGTTTGTTCTTCAAAGTCTTACAGCTCTTTGACCCTGACTCAAAACAGACCCGCAGAGTTCCTTGTTATCTATTGTTCCTTACTTCCTCATAATGAGTACTGTACTTTATCTGAATTATTATGCAAAATGGGCCCAATAAAAGTAGGTTTGGACTGGAAATTGGGGTGCTCCCCACTAGAGGGGGTGGCCATTCCATCCCTACTTCTCCACAGAAACTAGTCTGTCTCTGTGCATGTTTTTTCTCATGTTTTGTCGAGCCATCCACAGCGTTCCATGATCACTGCTGGCCGGTGACCCACGCATCATAGTTTATGGTATTTTACTGTAATATATATGTTTTATACTTTGTTGAAATAATATAAAATTATCTTTTTGTATTTTCAGCCTTGGTTTCATGCTTAAAAAACCCTCATATCATATGATCAATCTCGATCATATATATTTTATTTTTTGTTTTTTAAATTACATATATTTTAGTCTAACACCTATAACTGTAATTTCTCTATAACTTATTTGGTATATTGTATGATGATGTATTACAAAGTTGTTAATTTTCTTAGTGGTTGTTCAGCTGTCTCAATAGTAATAAATGAACAATGCATCTTTTTATTGGTTTAAAATGTCACTTTTTACATACTACCTTAATCTGTGTACTATCTATATTTTGAAATTTTTTATTTATATTATACAAGTTACCACTAATGAGGATAAAAACATTATAAGGAAAGAAATATGGAGAAAAATAAAAGAGTCTTCAGCATAGGCCCTGGTTGGTGTAGCTCAGTGGATTGAGCATGGGCTGCAAACAAAAGGGTCACTTGTTTGATTCCCAGTTAGGGTACATGCCTAGGTTGTAGGCCAGGTCCCCGGTGGTGGGGGTGTGAGAGGCATCCACACATTGATCTTTCTCTCCTATTTCTCCCTCTTTTCCCTCTCTCTAAAAATAAATAAATAAAATCTTAAAAGAAAGAGTCTCTTGCTTAAAAAATTATATGCAAAGGAAGACAAACATTGGATTAAGGTAGTGATATTAATGTTCAATGAGGACACTTTCAAGGTCTCAAATTTGAGTTTTGAAAAAAGCCAGTGAATAGAGGAGATACATCTGGGCTTTCTCTACTAACATTGGGTGTGTTTTGTGTGCCTTGTTCCATAACCCTAGTGATTCCCCAAATTAAGGTAAAATATCTCCTGCAAGAGCTTGGTAGTATTTGAATTCTTGAGGATGTCTGGAGTGAGATTCATGGACCAGCATTTTAACACATACCACAGGTAATTCTGGTACTTGTAGGCTATAGTACATACTTTGAGACATATCCCCTTGGACTGAAACACACACGTTTGGCAGGGACCAGGAGAAGGTCCTGGAGCAGTGCCCCCCAGATCACAGAATGGACTGAAGCAGGTGTGACAGGCAGAAAGGACCTGAGAGTGTAAGGGAGGTTCTGAGCTTCTGAGTCACTACCTGCTGGTGTGCTGAGATCACAGGTAATTATTCCTAACAATTACAGTAACAAAGTTTGAAAAGAATAAAGTGAAAAAAAAAAGAATTCAAAGTTAGTCATTTTGTTGTCTAACAGGCTTGGTTGGGTGGAAGAGAATGGACGGGGCTTGATCCAGGGCCCTGGGAACTGGATGTCTGTGTGTGTCTCAGCAGTAAGACAGAAAAGGAACGTGCGGAGCAAATACAGACTTTGCAGGCTCCAGAATGGAAAGTACCAAGTGTCCAAAAAGTGTAAGAGGCAGAGAAAATGATTTTTTTAGGAAAAAGGTGGACAACTGAAGTGGCAGAGATGGAGGTATTTAAATACTCTCAGATTAGCTGGTGAATGAATGAATCTAAGGAGTGTTAATAACCAGGATGTTATATTCATTATCTCTGAGAACTGCCTAACTTCAGATTTTGATTCATGTGACGTGTACTACTGTTGAATTTTGTTTTTAATTGTGCTGCTCTCTTCATGTCACTTGTTTTCATTGTATCCCCCTAATAAAATGTGGTCAGAACCCTTGCAAAGGGGTGAGCTGGGGCTGCCCAAATGGTAGGGACATGGGAGGAGATACATGTCCGAATGCCTTAGAAAGTGACTCAGATTAGTTTTCCCGTATATACCTAATTGGCAATCTAGTATTTTTAGATGAAATACTCAATAATATTTTCTGAAGGAAATAAATTACAGTAGTTCTAACAACTTGAATAATGTTCACATTTCAAATCAGCTTATTGTATCAAAAGTTAAAAATATTACCAAAGCATACAAGTTTTAGGAACCCTTTTTCTTTGGAACTTAAAGCTCAATATCAAATTCAGCATGAGCTCAGTGGTAAAATATTTCTGGATTTTTTACAGCTTCCTCTCCTCCCCTTGTTTAAAGCACCTAACTAGTCAGCAGTTCTTCCAAATAGATATAAAACTGATTACTCTTGAATGCTTAAGTTTCCTCTTGCTGTTGAGATTATAGCTGCTACACTGGACTGTGAGGAAAATGTTTATTGCTTCGGGGTCTGAAAAGCAGGTTGCAGAATCAGGAAACTATTGAATTGCCATCTGGCTTGGAAAGTACACTTCTGTGTAAGACTTCATTTATGTTCTAAACTATTCTACCTTTATTCTCTTCTGGGGAAGGATGACTTTTATATAATTCTTCATTTAAAAGGGCCTTATGAGAATCAGACAGATTATGCTTTGAAGGTGACATTTGTGAAATATGAATTGGCCTATAGAAAATTTCAGAATATATTTCAAGTGTATGTGGCTTTTATTTACTATTACTTGATGAATAAAACTTACTATTCTACGTTGGGTTCCTGCACTGGAAATTTCACACAACATTTGATAACTGCTGGTTTGATTTAGATGCTTTACTGTGGTAGCTGAAGAGATCGATCTTGTTCTGAGTCAGGCAGGAATGTCTATATTGAATTTGCCATTGGCTATGAATGTGTGCACTCAACATCTAGTGAACATATAAGGTAGGGTATGGCATACTTTCATGTGAGGCCCACTGCGGAATAAATTCTGGCTTTTGTGTTTTGCTAGGTACGAAAACAATGATGGCATTGCATAAAGCTTAAGTTTACTGTGTTCAGCAAAACAGTTAAGACTCTCACATTATTGGTGAATATTTTATAGATGCTAATGTAGTTTAGTAACCACTTCACCAACTACTTAAAAGATATTTACCAGTAATTACAACCAACAGGAGCATAAATAACTAGCTAAAATGAGGTCCAGCTTTATGCTATTGAAGGAAATCTGTTCCTACAGTTATCAATTAGCAGATTACTATTGGATTTGTTTTGTAGCTCTCCAAACAACATAACTATGGGATAGAAGAATCAAACTTAAAAGAATAATCATCACAGATACTGAAGTTAGTGTTTTTTAATAGGACATCATATTCTAAATTTTTATATCTCTTTTCTGATTTTGAAGTTATCAAGTGTTAGTCTCTCTCATTGTTTGGAATTGCATTATTATTGAAATAGAGAAACAGTTGAACATCATATATATCTCTTTGAATGAAACTGCAAATTAAAAAAAGTAATAGATGCTTAAAAATTGATATGTGCCCGAGTTAATAAAAAGTTTCAGGTTTATGTAAGTAAATTCTTCAATAAATTGATTTGCTTACCCCGTAAACAAGTTCTCCTACCATCCCATTCCAGATTTTTGTGTCTGCATCCCTTGCTCCATATTTTCCATCAGGGACAATGGCAATTTTATACTTGATACCAATATGTTTTGCAATTTCAGATGCCAAATCTACACAGTATCCTTCATACTTGTCATTTCCTTCAAACATTTCGTGATTTTTCTTGTACATAACATATGGGGATTCCTATAATGAGAGAAGTAGAACTGTAAAGGAGAAATTATAAAACATTCAAAAATATGTAACTTTCCAGTTCTAGAATTTGACAAAAATATTCTATTTAGTATTGTATACACATTGATTTTGTGTGGCTAGAAATCAATAGTAAAATAGATGAATATATAAATATGCTTAGAAGTACATTAAATTGTTTTATACTAGACACTAGATGTGGTCTTTAAAATCATTGTCTTTGAGTAATTATTATATACCTAGTACTGTAACTGTGACAGGAAATGTATCCATTAATAATCATCTGGAGAAGCATAGCTATCACCTTATGCAATAAAATCATTAGTCCCAAACTATCATGTGAAGTTAAAGATTATTTAGTAGTCAACTTCATGTAATAAAACACTAATTGAAGGCCACCTGTCTCCATATTCTGCATCTTGTTTAGCCACAGTCAACTGTGACCTTTGCAAAAAGAGCTAGATCTTTTTTTTTTCTTTCTGGTACTTAGCAATAAGCTTTTTTCCTCCGAGCAGGCACTAGCATATTCAAAGACGAAATAAATTAATGGCTTAAAATTGTGTATACTTATTTGGATTAAATAGGCTGGCCTAAAGTTGTCAAATTGTCCAATATTTTAGATTTAATTAGGATTTTGTTCCATGAATTTTTATTCTGTTACACAATAGGTCTCCAACAGAAGCCAATACTTTTCCCTGAATTGTGACTATCACACACATCGAGAGACAGTCCCATTTAGTTTTTGAAGCAAGTAAGCATGAAAATAGGATTAAGAATTAGTGTCAAAATCCATATAAAATGAAAGTTTACTGGTGGCTAATATTAACTGGACAATTTTCAGTTAAAGCACACACAAACACACACTTTCACTCCCCTAATCCAAACCGTTTGAGGGCTGTGAACTAAAAGAGATGTTAGCAAAAATACATTTGATTTTATAAATGGAACCTAAAGCCACCAACTAAAAGGTAGCCCTGAGGAATATGCAATTCATCTAGAACTCCTCGTCACACCCCAGAAATTTTAGTTATTTGCAGACAAGGAATGACCACATTTGGCCACAACATCATTGAAATCATGTTTTTATATTTTATAAAATTGTGTGATAACCTTCATTTAGTAATTTTGATATGAATCCTTTCTTTTATCCCGGGAAATCTATAATTGTGAAGGTTTAACTTTCTCTTGGAACTCTGACTTAGAGGGTAATTTACTTTATATAATGTGACAGTGTACACTAATTGTTTTTTGAGGAACTTTGTGAATGTGGAAACTACATAAAAATTTAATAAGAATGTAAAACACATGATATATGATATTCTCATAGAGATGCCCTAGAGAACTTTATTGTGGGCAATTGTCCAGGATTAGACTTTGTATTATTTTCTTAAATTCTGCCCTAGGCTGACATGACTAAGCGACCCAAATATCTCTTACTTGTCTTCTACATTGAATTTGATGAATATTTTAACACTGGGATGTTTACTCATCTAAAATTAAGGCAACTAATTGTCTCTTCTTTAGATAGATGAAAACCATTAGTTTACAAAAAAGTATCTAAGTATAAAGTTTTACAAATTATAAATGTGTTTATGAAAATTGGTAAATTATTGCAAAGCACTGTTAATTTCTTAGATATGCTATAAAATATTAATAGTTAAAATGAGCTAATCTTTTAATTGTTCTCTTTTTTCTTGTAATAGTTAATTAAAATATGAAAGAATATGCAGAAAAAAGCAGGAATCACCCTTTTGTAAAATGCTTAACATTTTAACTGAAATGGCTATATAGCTGTCTCCTATAACTATTCATGTAATAAAACTAACAAGTTTACAAATGAAGTATAGCTAAGGCTCACATTTGGTACTAAGGCTAAAGATCTATTTTAGAGTGTTTGGAAATATTTGAACAGTTATGAATTTTAGCCACCAAATATGTATGTATATATGTATTTGTGTGCAGAAATTTCTTTAGCTAGTATTATTATTTAATTTGCTAAATCCCATAACATTATTTTGTGAGCTGTTGCTTCATTAAAAGCTGTACTTTTATTATTCACTCAAACATTTATTAAGCACCCATTATGTGCTGGGCAGTTTGAGTTTGCTGGGAACTAAGGGTACACAAGTCATTAAAACATGCCCCTTATCCTCTTGTGATTAATTGAGGTTAAATTCTTTTTAGTAAGAGTGAAAGAGTGAGAGTGGTTGGGGAAAATAATAAAATAGAGTAGTGAAAATAAATAGCTCTTACTTATTTAGTGCTTACTCTGTGTCAGGTAAATGTTAAGTTCTTTAATTGTGCTCTTTCATTTACTTTTCATGTGGACATTTGGAGGTAGGCATTTCCCATTTTGCAGATAGAACTTAAGGCTCAAGGAGGTTAAGCAAATTGTTCAATTTCAAAGAACTAGCAGAAGTGGGGGTTGAACCTATATTTTGAAATATCTAAAAATATCTGAAACTGTTATTGCACCTGTCAAAATATGTGCAATTATTTGAGCATATGGTTTAACAAGAAAAGGGACAAAATTAAAGAAGTGAATTTGTTTCTTTAGAGAATGAAATTCTTTATATGAAATCTTGAGTAAACCATGTAGATAAAAACTTTCTGTACCTTCTTGTGGTGTCTGGTATACACAAGGCACTCAATAAATATAAAGATCTGATCTATCAGGACTTCCTAGAGAGGAATATCATACCAAAGTAATAATATTAGAACTTGGATTCAGGTCTTCAAAAAGAAAGTAAACATTAACAAATGCTAGGTCACCTCTTCAGAAACAGACATATGTATACATAAATTTAAAAAGCATTTAGTGTCTTTTTTTTTTCAATTTCCTTTTGACACCAGGGGACTGTTTTGTATTTGTTTTCCTGCCAAACAAACTAACAAAGGTTAGAAGAGCCTTCAGTTTACTAAAGATGCTAATTAGAAATTTAGCTGTTTGCACAACAGGGGGTCTTCATGCTTACTGAGATTCAGGTGAGTGATGTATGCAGCACAAGAGTAATAAGGGGAACTTACACTTGAGGTGGAAGAACAAAGGGAAGGAAAGGCTCAGTTTTCCTCACCCAAAAGCTCTCATGATTGCTCAGCTCTACCCATTTCCTTTGAGTGGGTCTCAGTTTCCTTTTCTAAATGAGTAGCAAATCCCAACACTCTCCCAACTTCCTCTTGCCCCAGCTCCAATCTGACAACTTGTCCACAAGTAGCCTTTCAAATACTGCATACTTGGGGAAATTTAATACAGAATTTTGGGGCTAGTATGGGTGAGAAAAATACCAAATCTTTTCAATATAATAAAAAAAATTAGTTCTAGCTAATCATTACGGGGATTTGTGGAGCATCTTTGATAAGCAGCAGCCTTATGGAGTCTCAGGTGTTCAGTTGTGACTAAAAATAGAATGATCACAGAAGTGGAACATAACCTCTTATTTTTAAGAGTATAACCTGCCATCTTTATTATCAACTACTCTGACCTGTTGGACAATAATGCCTTAGAAGTTATTTTAAATGCATTGCTTCTTAGTAATTATGAGTTTATTACTACAATTTCCAGAATAGAAGATTGTCTACATTTGCTCTGCTATTTAAGAAAAAAAAAATCTCTGTCTAAAGATGTTATGTTGGGGCTTGCTTAAGAAAATGTTGGTGTAAATGAATTAAAATGAATTTTAATTGATGAAGTATCCTTTTCCTACTGAGAAAATGTTTCTTGGATTATCTGCACTTAATAAAAGTGAAACTTTTGAAATAGATATTTATTGAAAATCTTTAAATTTTCTAAACATCACAAATATAATAATTATAATTGATAACATAATCATTATAATGATTATAATCATTATAATTGATAACAATTAATGAAATCAATAGTGTCAACTGAAATTATTTGCTATGTGGCTATTTGTTTTTCTACAAAGAATCTTAGAAGATGTAGAAGATTTATCCCATGGGTAAAATTTTAAAACTGAAAATTAGAAGATTATTATTAAATTCAGGAATAAATGAATACATTTATGGCTGCATCATTTTAAGTTTATTTAAAATAACATTTAAAAACTAATTGAATTATAATCCTTTCAGAGGCATGTATATGTATGGGGGATATTAATATTTGGCACACAAAAGAAAATAAATATGTCTATTTTCTACATATATAGGGTAGGCAAAAGTAGGTTTACAGTTGTTCATATGGAAAATGATACAATACTTAATAAATAATAATACAAGAATATAAACTCTGTGTTTCCTGTACTCATAGTTATAAAACTATTTTTGCCCACCATTTGCTATGTAGATTGTTGCATGTGCACAGGTATCTATGTATAGTACATCTACAAAATTCTACATAGAGAAGATAAAATATCAAACATCTCATAAAGTATGAAAAGTAACCTCTTAGAAGGATCAAGTGTGATAAATAAAATGGCTTTTAGATTTGTAAAATAATTCTGATACTGTAGTGAATACATTTGGATTTATGGAAAATTGTCCTAAAAGATTGCTATATTTAGAAGGTGAAAGAAATACTTTCTAGTTGAATAATACATCATAAGCATCATTTAACTTGAGGAGTAAAGATTTGGGGAAAAACGGGTTTGGCTGAAATATCATTGCATCATGTTTCCTTTTCCAGAGAGTTCAGCAGGCGAGGAAAATAGTGAGATTACGGAGCAAAACACCGTCTCTTTCCCTCAAGGTCTACTGTGAACTGCCTTTTCCTCAGTTGCTGCCCTTGTCCAAACCGCATGACACATATTTGGCTTCCTTAGGTGGTTTGTAGAAATTATTGTTTTGGATGTAAAAAATTAAATCAGTATGGCAACATTCTCATTAGTTTTACAGATTTTATAAAAATTTTAGTCACTAAGGCCTAAGATAAAAAAACCCATGAGCCTCCAAATTCAAGACCTGAGACCTTTCAACATTGTAGTTATGATTCTTATTTGATGTTATTGTCAATTTTACTTTTTTGTTTAGATTTAGTTAAGTTAAATTCAGTATGACTATATTCAGGTAGACTAAATTAGACATTAAAATGAAGGTCACATTATACATGTACACAATGTTATAAAAATGAATTCCAACAATGCAAAACACTAAGGCTACATTTTATTGGAAAATTATATGTAACATATTTTTTATGTCTTTTGTTTGCTTTCTCTCATTAAAATATGTTTTCTTGAATGCAGGATTTTTGTCTTTTTTGTTTTCTTACATATTCCTAGACTTCTAACTAAGCCTAGCACATAGCAGACGCTTAATAAATATTTATGAATGAATGAATAAATTTATCAATCAATTTTATTTAACAATAGCATATATCATTACAGTGTAGCAACATATAAATAAAAACATACACAAAGGAAAGACAAATGGGTGAACAGCAATGCCATATCAATTCAATCAAAATGAATGATTTCCAGTGCCACAACACTCTCAGCCTTTTTTTGTGTCTAGGTGTCTACCTGGTATGTACTACATGTCTAACCAAATCCATCTGTATTGGGAGTTTTCAGTTGAATCTGGGGGATTATTACATGCAGATGCCTATATCTCATTCATCTATAAGGAGCCATATTTTTTTCAAAATGAGGTGGTAAAGATGTCCCAGGTCCCAGGCTATCATTTTCAATAAAAGCAAATACAAGAAAAACTTACAGGGAAAGGATTTGGGTATAAATTTTTTTGAATTACTGAACAACTATGCAGATGCAAAGACCAGGGGTATTATGTATATGAAGATTACATTTTTATACAAAAGACAGATACTGGTGTTGCACTATTCTGATGGCAAAAATATAGATAATATCACTGTCAAACAATGATAACTTTACAGATTATTCTTTATATATATAGGAACCAGTTGGATTTTTAAATCAATTTTCCTTAGTTTTTGATAGCATGCTTCCAAAAACTAGCCATGCTTTCAAAATTAATTCAATATTTTTGTTTTAAGAATTATATCTCCGGCCCCTTTCTTAACAGGGATAGAAAGGAGATTCTCTACAGTATATCTATAATGCACATTAAAACACTTTATTTCACACAGAACAGGCAAAATTAAAAAAAATCTTTAAAGAAATTGTTGTATATTCAGAAAACAAAACACAGATTCATAGATATTTACTTTTAGAATGTACTTGGAATTAGGACTGATATAATTCCATTATTTACACACAAAGACCTCATTTCAAGTTATGGGAAGTGATATGTCAGAATTGCTAAGTGATTCTCTTTCAACATCTATTTATTTTCTTGGGAAAGATGAGGATTAATTCTTCTTTTGTTCTTGTTTCTCAGAAAAGTCACAGAACTTAAAAAACATTTTTTTCCTGACAGTCCAGAGTTGGTCATCCCGGAAGAATCTCACATGAAAAATCAGATTAAATTTACTACACAGGAGAACAAGACTTGGGCCTTGTTAGGGATGGTCGGACCACGTGGAACTCATTTCTTTCTTGATCAATTCCTTAAAATAGGATTCTTCATCAGAGGCTGAAAAGAGGAGGACTGTACTGAAGTATGACTTTCCATTATTGTGTCTTTTTTAGGAAAATAACTATATATATACACATATTGTTTTTCAAGTCCCATGCAAACATCACACAATTGAGTTGGAAGGCATATACTTTGCACTGTTGCACAGAAACTGTTGTTGGTTGGTTTCATTCTAAAATAATAAACTTCTGTTCAAGGCTGGTGATGCAACACAGATAAAGCTAATTGCAACATATAAAAACTTCTCTCGGGCATTATCATGCTTTGACCTCAATGTCAACATTTTGGAAATAACATTACTAAAACTGAAATTACATAAGCTAAAATTAAATTACATAAAACATGTCCACTTTATTTAGACTAAGGGCTCCATGAATAATTAAAACCATGTTTTGCCTAATGAGACAGTGAGATGAGGACATAGGACTTTAAATTAGATAGAAAAGGTCACCGATTGTTGATCTCCTTTGACTAGCGATGACTCTAAAGGGCATGTTTGACTTTAGAACAGAAAAATATAGATTTTCTATTATTTAAAAGGTAATTTCACTAACATCTCTTTGAAAAAGTAGCCTTAAAATTTAAAATATTTTTCATTTTATGATGTGAATGAATGAAGCAATCATATTTTTCTTAATTCCTAGAAGTCCTATAAATTATATTTTGTATTTGTTACTGGTCAATGAGAAAAATAATCGGTGCAAAGATTTTTTTGCATCAAAAATAGATATAAAACAAATTTATTTCTAAAGCATCCAGTTATATAAAACATGCTTATTAAATTCTTCACATTCATATCTCCACTATTACAAACAGACAATACACATCATTACCTGATGATCAAACTACTTGGAAATTATAATTTTAAACACCAATAACTATTTTTACATGGATGTTTTAAAACTATAATAACAATGATAATGTGGTCTTTGCTACCAGATATTTTATTCTATCGGTTGTTGATCTTTTCCATGTTCATTCTTTTGTCCTTTGGAATCTTAGCATTTCACACATTTCCAACTAGAGCTTGACAGTTTCATTTTTTGACATCTGAGCATTTTTCCAGGAACAACAATGAAGCAGGAGAGAATACAAATAAAAGTACTAAATGTACTCAAAGCTCAGGACAAACATACTTAAAGTCTCAGAGACTTTTGTGGATCAGAACACCCATGTTTCCACTGCTTTCACCAGCCCCGTTCTCCTCAGCTGGGAAACTGAAACTGCCTGTGGACAAAACGGAATAGCAGGAAGCACAGACTGAAACTTACCATAATTGTGGTTACAACCACTGTTCTGTTCTCAATAGCTGCTGTGTCATTGCCAAGAGTGGGTACATCTTGAATCAAGACTAATTTATCCATATCATTCCAGTAACCAACCTGCCAAATAGAGAAAATCAATGAAAACACATTTTAGAAGAGTTTTCTCTGATTCTTATTGGAATGAGTGATATTAGTGAACAAAAATAAACAAATTTAAAAAGTAGATAAAAAAGTGTTTAGAAGTTTTTTAAAACTGTTGATGAGCCAGTTTTCTTGATGTTAATGATACTGCTTGATTATACATTTTGGCAACTTCAGCACTTATTATTATGGAGTAGCCAAGACATTAGGAATGAGTGGCTCAAAAGGAATGTGAGTACTTTATAAAGTGCTTAACTAATGGGGTCTTAAGGGAAAGTTAGGGGGCTGTATATCATGCAGATGACAGCCACCACCTATTGACTGCTTGCTCTGTGACAGACACTGCTCTCAGTATTTTTAAAAGATTTTATTTATTTTTAGAGAGAGGAGAAGGGAGGGAGAAAGAGAGAGAGAGAAACATCAGTGTGAGAGAGAAACATCAGTTGGTTGCCTCTTATATACACCCCAACCAAGACCGAGCCCATAACCCAGGCATGTGCCTTAATCAGGAATAGAACCTGCAACCTTTCATTTTGCAGGACAGCACCCTACCAACTGAGCCACACCGGCCAGGCTGCACTCAGTGCTTTTAAAATATGCATCTTAAAGTTTAAAAACAAAGCAAATGTAGTAGTGCAGTTATTTTTTATATTGTAAAGATGAGAACCCATATTAGAATGTTAAATAAATTTTCACAAGGTTATACATTCATGAAGCCAGAATTCAAAATTCAGGTCTTTATGAGACCAGATCCATATATACTTTATTATGCTACACAGCCTCCCAAAATGGGTGTTTCTTAATACTTTCCAAAATTTTTTTCTTGAATCTCTGGATGCAGTTCATAAAACTCATGTGTCCAATAAAATGTATGTAATGGCTTATGGGTCTGTTCACTATTTGTTCTAATATGTTGTGGAAGTCTCGCTTGTTTCCTTCATGTTTCTTAACTGTGTTAATATTTGTTCATATATTAAGATAAGTTAAGCATTAACATGTCAGAAAGAAGCACTATATTACTCACAAATATTGTATATGTAACAACACCAGAATAGATGAGAAAAATAATTTTCACTAATATGGCTTGCTGTAATTCTCAGTGTGCTTTGAAATTTTGAGTGTATATGAATTCAGCAATATTCTCAATTGTCCATATGAATTCATTTGTAGCTTTTAAATTAATTTAAAAGTTAAATTTAAAAACATGTATGCCTTTCAGACCTACCATCCCTCCGTTTCTACATGTACTTAAAAATTAAAAAAAAAATGTCAGTTGTTTCCTTTTAATTGTCCTTTCCACGTGGCTGTTGTATGACAGGCAGATGGGACTGAGAGGTTAGCACTTGTAAAGATGCAGCCACCTTCCCAATCTCAGCAGCCTGTTCTCTTAGGAAGACGATTTTTCTTTGTTAATGAGTTCCCACAGCAGAATAACCACAGATCTGGGACACCTTCTGGAGAGTCCTCACATGTTGGCCAGGCCTTCACAGTTTGCATTTAAAACCAACCTGTCAGTTCACAAGTATCTACCTCCAAAAGACAAGTGATTTAGAGTATTGACAAATTAAAATAAGCAAAAATTTACCCAACTGTGTCTATTTGCATTATATCTATTTACAATTGTGGTAAAAAAAAAGCACCATGGCTTGTGATATGAGACCAATTAATGGCAGATCTCAGTTGGGCCACAGACTTACTGCAAAGTAAGATTATCTGGAATGGGCAGTGATACAGGGTTCGCTTCCTAAAGAGAATCTGAAAGTTTGGACCTAGAATCTCACATGATATGGAGTTTCTCTCTCTAGTTCTCCATAACATATTTTAATATACAAGAACTTTCCCAAAGCCTGATCTCATTCACCCAGATAGAAATCTAGGCATTTTTCCTAGAGATAGAAAATTGGGTGAAAAAATAGTAATTCTAGAACAAAAATACAGAAACATTTTCATCACTAAACTGGCGAGGATTGTCAGAAAAATATTTTTCTTTTTTGTACTTGTAAAGGAGAATTTTGTGCAAACCTAAAAATAATATAAGGTAACAGTAAGCATCTGTATATTTATGGTGGACTTTGCCTGCAAAGTAGGAACAGGGTGAGATTTGAGGTGCCGTGAGGGCCCCTGTTCTACTCACCGTTGGTTTTTTTTGAGAGCTGATTTGACCAGACTTTTCTTAATAAATATGGCTTAATTCTAACCTTACAGAGAACCTGACTGGGCCCTGGGACTCATAATATTTCTTAGATGTCAAGAGAGTGAGCTCTGGGGCTGGGTGAGCATTGGTTTCTGCTGCAGCTCCATCTCTCTCTGGCTGAATATCCCTGGGCAGGTTACTTAGTTTCTCTTAGTCTTCCTTTTCTATTGTATCAAATTAGAACAATACATCTTATTTTTGAGTGGTTGTGAGGATTAACTATAAAAATGCACATTAATTTTCCAGTACTGTGTCTAGGATATAACCTGCTCTAGAAATATAATTTTTACAATTCAGAATTTCTGAAACCATTCAAGCCTGGTCCTGGAGTGTTTACTCTGGGGGTCACCAGAATGGCAAGAAGATCCCACTATACTTAAGAACTGGGACTTCAGAAAGAGCTCTGTGGCATCTGTTAATGAGACTCTTGATCTGTGTCCCTGTTAACAGAAGTCAGACAAACTAAACTGATGGATCAACTTTTATCTATTTCCAAAAACAACTCCCTTGCTGGCAAGTGTTCAATTTACAAGAACGTTGCTCATTTTTCAGACATGTTGCTGAGTCTCACAAGCACAGTGTTTCTCATAGTAGCTCATTTGACCAAACGCCCGAGTTGATTATTGTCACAGAAAACTGAAGGTAGGTGAGTCTGCATAATTGTGCACATCATATTTCTTTTTTTATAAACTATTTTTTTAAAGTTTTTATTTATTTATTTTTAGAGAGAGAAGGAAGGGAGATAGAGAGAGAGAGAGAGAAACATCAATGCGTGGTTGCTGGGGGTTATGGCCTGCAACCCAGGAATGTACCCTGGCTGGGAATCGAACTTGTGACACTTCGGTTCGCAGCCCGCGCTCAATCCACTGAGCTACGCCAGCCAGGGACCCACATCATATTTCTTTAAAGAGTCTTAGAGGTCAGATGAGTGTGAAGATGCATTGTTCTTCACTCTCCCAATTTACTATTTAACTTTTACTTCAAAAAAGCTTAATTTTTGTTCCTAGTGTGCTTCAGTAGTCTATGTGACAGGATTCAGTACTATAAATAGTCCACTTGATATTACCACTAGTTTCTGTCAGCTTCTGTTTTTCCATTATTTCTTTTACAGAATGATCATTTTACTTTTTGTACATACTGTTTGGTGAAACATGGACTTGCCTTTTGCATTTTAGAAAACTTCTCTTATGGCTAATTTTTCAAGATCTGGTTTGTGGCAGGAAGGTGTGCCTATTTTTACCTCTGCCCACCTGTTAGCCAATGTTTCTAGGGGCCTGGGAACATTGTACTCTGGGAAGTACTCTGTCTGCTCCACAGCTGGTAGTGTGGGTAAAGTCAGTGCTCACATGGAAGCCCATAAATTTCTTATTGGAATACTCATATGTCTCAGTCCCTTATGGCAGGCAGTGAACTTAAAGGAGCCCACACAAAGTTTGGCTTCTCAGCTGTTGTCCATCTCTTGCCTGACCTGATCTGGCTCAGGCAGGCTCTAGCACTCTTGGTGGTAGCTGTCAGCTTGAACTTAAGAAGGTGCCACAAGAGATGGAACAGCTGGAGATGGTTTTCATGGCAGCTCCAAATCTCCCTCACTAATATGCAGAAGCCCACACTATGAAAGACTGGAGCAAAACACAGCTCAGAAAGCATTTACTATTCCCATTTATGACCTAATTGTCCTTCTGGAACTTGTCATCAGGTTCTTGCCTCTTTCATTTCTACCTATTCAAACTCTAGCTTTACAGCTAACATTAAATCCCACCTCTTCCAGGCAGCCTTCCTTGATTTGTTTTCCTCCAGCTGGAAGTAATCTCTTCCTCCTTGGAATTTCCACAGGTCTTCTCTTTAACTATCACATGAAACTTAGTCCATTCTACCCTACTAGAAAAATAAATTCCTTTAGGGCAGTGTCTACTTAAGCAAGGTAATGATGTAGAAAGTTTTGGAGTCAGACATATCTGAATTAAAAACTTTGTTTTCTCACTTACGGGCCAAAGACAAGTAACCAGGACCTATTGGATCAAATTTTTCTTATTGGAAAAGGGAGATAATAGTACTAACATTATATCATTGTTAGGATTAAATTATACCAAGTCCTGTGCTTGGGACACAGCAGCCTTTTCATAAACTGTAGCTATCATTATTATATTAAAGGAAGAAAGTATATTTGGGAATGTTTTTGTTTAAACAGCCAAGTGATGAGACAAATAAAGATTTTAGATAAATAACTTGAATATCTCTTGAACGTTTTAGTTAATCCTAGAGAAATGAAATGTTAAAAATTGTGTGTGTTAAATACACGTGAATAAAATGTTTATAGCCAATTACTGTGGTGGAATTGTACAGCTTCATTATGTATTTTTTGGATGTTGGGAAGATTGCTAATATGTCTAGTCACATTATAAGATAAGCAGAGTTACCTTCTAAAATCCAAGGATCTGTCACAAACAGCTTCCTGACCAACCTCCCTGGCCCCTCAATTGAAGTGTCTTAGGTATTTCTCTCCCTCCTCAGCCTAACACTAATCTTAATAATCTTTCCCTCTATCTGCTTTCCCCTTTGTTCATTTGAATGTGTTTACTTGTTTACTTCAAGAATATTCAGCCTGTTCCAAATATGCCCACCCATTAGAAACAGTTTTCTTTGTTGTCTTTTACAAATGGTTGCATGGAGGCACTGTGTTTTCTTTTCTGTGTGTGTGTGTGCGTGTGTTTTGTGGGGTTCTTTTTGCTAAGGCTTTAACAATTATATTGCTTCCATTTTGGATAAAGATGTAAAGAGTGTGTAAATTATATACAGGGTCTGGCAGAAGTAATGCCTGCTTGAGTGCGATTGGTAGGGTAACAATATCAGTGTAGTAATTTATAGTTTTAATTTGAACATTTCACCTAAAATGTCACATGGTGTGCTTGAGTGTGATATGTTATATTACAGAATTACATGCTTATGATTTTGTAATAAAAAGGGGGTGTTATTTGTGCCAGACCACGTAGATTATTTCAGCTTTGGCACATGATTAAATATGTTATATGACACATGACACAAAAATTTATCTCAGTGCAGATTATCAAGAAAGTACTATTTGTAAGTACACACATTGAAAATGTAGAATAACCAGTTACCTTTCATCTATAGGGCTTGAAAAATATCAAATGCAAAGTAAGAAAACAGTTCAAGGGTGGCTCACCTTCCTAGGCCCTGTGCTCTTCAGCTCAAACACGTCCATTGTGTAATTGACCCTACGTCCATAGTGGTCGAACTGAACGTTCCCTGTCAGCCCTTGAATTCGAACCTGTAAATGAAAACAAACAAACAAACAAACAAACAGACAGACAGACAGACAAACAAACATGTATTCATTTGCCACGTCATTTGTGGAAATCTCAACTTCATCTGCTAGGCTTATGACTATGTATGGGTGTGGAACCTTACATTGTAAGCAACTCACTGAAATACCATGGGCTATTTGAGCTACTGGGATAGAATCTGAAAAAGAAATATCAAAGGAATATATAAGCAATTCTACTATATACCTGGAAGATGAATATGTTTCATTTGTTTTTTATGTTATAAAGTTTCCATTGTAATTTTTCAGTATTGAAGTATTGTGTATAGGAACAGAAATATGGTTTGTTTATAGTTACTTTTCAGTTTTATCCACAGATCCACATAATAAATAGAGCTGATGACCCCACCAAATCATATTTCTTCTTGTTCACATTAAAATGAAGATTTAAGAAGTTCAAAATATAAATATATCTTGAAAATATTCACATGTATTTTATTCCACATTTTCTTTTTATTCATTTTTACATAACATGTTATGAACCCATGGTATTTCAGAACATTTAAAATGTAATGTTAAAATATAAACATATTAAACATTTGAAAAATAGTGTTAGTATAACCATAAAAGACAATAATAAATAAATTATTTAATCCAAGGTTACAAGACAATTAGAAGATCTACTGAAATAATCTTTAGTAGTATTTGCCAAATATTCCTGGTTCTTCCCCATTCTGGGCCTCAGCCAAACTTGTACTTCCTGAACTCCTTGTGATTAGTGAGGCCTACGTGACTATCTCTGACAAATGATTTGTAAACAAATGTGATGAGTGTTACTACTGGGCCCGAGTTTAACTGCCAATTTGAAACTTCTCCACAACTTTATTTCTCCTTGTAACATTCAAGGTGGTAGCTGCTCTGTCAGCCTGGCTCCCTGAGTGGTTACAAGAAGCAGTGTCTCTGCTAATCTATTGTGTGTGTGTGTGTGTGTGTGTGTGTGTGTGTGTGTGAGAAAAGCACTGTTTTATGGTTGTAAACCACTAGAACTTGTCTGTTAGTACAACATAACCTATCTTATCCTGACTAAACATCTATATAGGATATAAACACCAGTACTCTGCCCAGTATTATGTTTTAAAAATATCTCAAAAATGATAATGGTTTAATATATTAAAATGTCAATTGTTGTATATATGGGGTCTGTCTGGGAAAAGTCCAGTCATTGTTAATATAATGAGCATGGTTGGTACAATATCAATATAACCTGGCAGCCAAGGAAAGTGGACTGGAATGTACTTGCATGAACAATGATGACTTCATTGTACTAGTCAGTTGGAGTGGTAGAGGCTGTTGAGTGAGCATATGTACTGTATGGCCATCACACTCAAAATGACTGAAGGAGTAGAACAATGAATCACATCAAATTTTGCATTAAAGTTGAACATTCCTCCATGGAAATTATTCAGATTATTCAGAAGGCCACAACTATGGGCAACTGGTGATTAGCATCTTTGTCACGACAATGCACCCACTCATGCATCAAGCCTCATGCAGAATTTTTTGGTGAGATATCAAATCACCCAGGTGACTCAGCCCCACTACAGCCAAGATTTGGTGCTCTGTGACTTCTGGCTTTTCCCAAAACTAAAATCACCTTTGAAAGGGAAGAGATTTCAGACTGTTGATTCAGAAAAATATCAGGGCAGCTGATGGCAATTGGGAGAACTATATAAGGTACCAAATTGCCTACTTTGAAGGGGACTGAGGAATCATTGTTCTATGTACCATGTTTCTTGTATCTTGTATCTTCTTCACCAAATATCTCTATTTTTCATATTACATGGCTGAATACCTCCTGGACAGAGATCATATATATTTATTTGCAGGTAAATTATTCTGTTTTCTGGAATAACTCACTTAAACAGAAGTATGAAACAAATTGAATTGAAAACACATTGTGAGTTACCTGTTTGAGTGTCCTCTCCATGTCAATTCCCTGGCCCCATGGAGCAGCAGGATTTGCCAGACAATCACCAGCATTTCCTCTCCTTGAAATATCAATTTTCTGCCTTCTTAGACTTCGGAAAGTTTCAGCCATCACAAGGACTCCATCATAAGTCAAAGCAGATGTGTACTAACAAAATAAAAGCAATTATAATTGTAAATTCTAAAATCTTATCAGGCACCATGGATAGTCTGGCGGCTCTGTGGGTTTATCATTACCAGCCTGTCTAATGCACAGTTAAATTGCTGATAATTAGTTGTCTCTAGCTTCAGAAATTTCTATTATTACTTGATTACAAAGACCATATACCAAATCTTATGACTCTGATTGAAAAAGGAGAAAACAGATACTGAAAAACAGAAATTCTAAGGTACAGTCCTCCAACAGTTAGAGGATGCAAGACCTTTAGGCAAGAGCTTTTTGTTATGCCCAAGTGGGAAACACTGAAGGATCTGAAGCTAAGTGTCTTGTAGCTGGTTCCTGTGGTTGAGCCCCAGGAGGTCTGGGGCATCTCACTCTTTTCTTCTTCCAAGATGCCTAGCAGGGATCCTTCAGACTTAATCTATCTTTATTGATGTGAAGTGTATATCTTTATTCAGTTCCTCAGAAGAATGAGTGGGGATGTTTATTGCTATTCAGATATTGGATGTCAGAAAAAGCATCTACTTGTTTAACAAAAGTATTTGCACTGGCCGCTGTGCTAAATAGGAACAAGCATTGTTATGTTTATGCCCGCTGAGTGTGCTCAGGAAGGTAAAGCCATTTCTCTAAATTAGCATGATAACTTAGGATCAAAGTGGAGAAGTGAAGTATAGAATGTCTGCTTTTTGAAAATCATCCAATGCTTCTCTTTGAGAAAAGACAAAGCCCTTATGAAAAGGTAATTAAAGCCTGGGTGTAGCTCAGTGCGTTGAGTGCATGCAGAACCAAAAGGCTGCATGCCTGGGTTTTGGACCAGGTCACTGGTCGGGGGTGAGGGGGTGCATGAGAGGCAATCACACATTGATGTTTCTCTCCCTCTCTTTCTCTCTCCCTCTCCTCTCTCTATAAATAAAATTAAAAAAAGAAAGAAAATAAAAGGTTATTAAGGTTAAGAGAGGAAGAGAGGAAAACTTGAGGAAAAACAAAACAAAACAGGGAATCCTTGTAGAGTTTGATTATAGAATTCCTCATCACATGGAAAATATGGCACTGGTTTCTTGAAGCATGGCAGAACAGCTGCCAATCATGGCAAAAAGCTTCATGATCTCTTTCAGAAATTCCATGTGGTAAATTCCACGTGATTAACACACTCTAAACTTGAACTAGGAGTAGTTTTGTACTGTGTAATATAGAAGATGATATCCATGATTTGTTGCTAATAAACAAAGAAAAGTAATTTAAAAATTGAATTGTAGAAAGTAAACTTAGGCAAAATGACTACTAGGCAGAGGAGCCAGCATTCCATGAAAGCGAACTAAAACACAGGTAAGCTAGACAATACAAATTCTAACAAATAAACTTTCAATGGTAGAGAATATAATTTAAAAAGCTTCATCAGAAAGATATGTGTGAGACATGTAAATTCGGAGCTACACATTCTTCAAGGACATGACAACATAGGATAAAGGACTGGCATAGGCCCTCATAGCTGGGATGGGGTGGCTGAAAGAAATGAAGGTGTTATAGCAAGGTGATAAACCAAAGATGAATATATACTTCCTTCCCTGCTTAGACCAACATATCTTTGAATAGAGAGAGCCTTCAAATCATCTGTTGGTAAAGCAAGAAAATAAAAACAAAAAAAATAAAGTAGAACTTACTAAAGACATAAAGGTCAAGATAAAAATACAATGCTAGTATTTTAGGATCAAGAGAAGATTAAAAAATATTGTCACTTTTTTTAATAGGGAGAAAAAAGCTAGGAAGAGATGACACCAAAGAGCAAATACACTAGCTATGCTTTAAAAAGTCTATCCCTTCTTATGAAACAGGTGAAGTACAAAAAAATAAAAAAAATGTGAGAGAAAAGAGATATCATACAGAGAGAGCAGAACACAGCAGACTTTCAGCCGGAGAAGCAAAGGCTTTTGACAGGTCACTGAGTTGACAGATGGAAAGAAGCAGTAGTTTAAATTGACTTTACCTTTCCAAAGGATTTCATTCTTTTCCACAGGTCTTATTGTGCTAAAGTTCAAGAAATCATTTTGGTCACACACCCTTCTAGGTGACATCTAGAAAATTCTTATTAAATAAACACTTCATTTTAGGCAGGATAAGACTGGGTCTTGGCCTAGAGTTATTTATTGTTTTAACCAGTGGTTCGAATGGTGACATGGATTCTGTTTACCAAGGTTTGTAGACAATAAGCCAGTAGGGCAGAATAATAGGGCAGTAGCAAGAGTATAGGTTTGGAGAAGAAAGAACTGGATGAATTCTCATTGTGCTACTCATAGTTTTATAGGAATCTGGAGTACACTTTTAAGCTGTGGAACACAAAACAGAGCAACCTTCACCCCCCACCCCCCACAAAAGAAAAAGAAACCCTGTGGTCGTTTTGAGAGCTGAAAAATGTGCTAGACACTGGACTATAAAGATGCATAATAGGTGGTTACTGCCCAGACACTTGTAGAAGTGAGACAATACATATTGGGTTGGCCAAAATATTCATTTGGATTTAAGATAAAAATAAAAGACAAATTTTTCATTTTTACCAATAACTTTATTGAACAACATATTCACCATTTTGTTCCACTACCTTCTGCTATCTTTCAGGCAAATTCATAATTCCTTCTTCCCAAAACTTTTTATCTTTTTGAGCAAAGAACTCTTCCAGGTACCTTTTGCAGTCTTCCAGGAATTATATTTTTTTCTATTAAGAGAATTTTATAAAGACTTAAATAAATGGAAATCTGCAGGGGCAATGCCTGGGAAATATAGTGGATGAATCAGACTTCCCAGACAAGCTGTAACAGTTTTTGCCTGGTCATCAAAGAAACATGTGGTCTTATGTTATCCTGATGGAAGACTATACATTTTCTGTTAATAAATTCTGAATGCTTTTCATTGTGTGCTGCTTTGAGCTGGTCTAAGGGAGCAGTACCTGTTGGAATTAATTGTTTGTTTTTTCAGAAAGAGTTCATAATAGAGGACTCCCTTCCAATCTCACCATACACACAACAACTCCTTCTCTGAATGAAGACTAGCCTGTGATGTGGGTGGTGATGGTTCATTTCACTTGCCCCATAATCTCTTCCATTCCACATTATTGTAAAGTATCCACTTTTCATTGCTTGTCACAATTGTCTTAAAAATGGAATGTTTTCATTATGTTTAAGTAGAAAATCACATGTGGAAACATGGGCAAGATGGTGTTTCTCATTTAACTAATGTGGAATTCAAACATCAAATCGATTAACGTAACCAAGCTGGTGCAAATGATTTTTAATGCTTGATTTGGATATTTTAAGAATGACAGCTATTTCCCATTTGGTATAACGTTGATTGTTCTCAATGTCTCAATTTGATCGCTATGAACTTCAACTGGTCTACCCAACCATGCGACATTGTCCAGTGAGAAATCTCTGGCACAAAACTTTGCAAACCACTTTTGACATGTTCATTCAGTCACAAGCACCTTCTCTATACACTGCACAAATCTTTTTTTGCATTTCAGTTGCATTTGTTACATATTTTCTACCATCTTCAATATTAAAATGGCACACAAAATTCACCAATTTTGATAAGCTTTTTAAAATGCATGCTGATATGACAGCTGTCACAATACAGTCTAACAAAATTGTCTTGAATGAAGTTAAGGACAGCTAAGTGCTACTAGAACTATCTTACAGGAAAAGAAAATGAATGTTTTGGCCAACCCAATAGACATAATCATGGTGAGTCCTTTGTGAGAAGTACACAATCAAATATGAGGGTGATTACAAAGAAGACAGGGATCATATTTACTGGGGGACTAAAAAAAGGCCTCAGAGAAACTGAATTTGAGATAAAGGTTTGAGCAGGTGGAAATAAAGGTGGGTGACAGCTGAGACAAATCAAGACTGTAAGGACTGATATGGAATAGAAAAATTTAATTTGATTTTTTTCTGACTAGAAATGGAGCAGAGAGACATATAACTGGAAAGACTTGTTAGGTATATATTGTGTAAAATATTTACTCCAAAAGATTTTTTTAAAGCAGGGCATGACAAAAGATCAGAAATTGTGCTTTGAATCTTAGTTAAGACACTAAAAAATCAAGTATAATTTAATTAAGTACATATACTTCTAATTATTCATGAATTTCATATTTGCAAGTTTGCCTACTTGCTAAAATTTGTGATCCCCAAATCAACCATCATGACAGGTTATTTGCAGGTGTGTGTCGTGTGGTGAGAACCTGAGTTCCCCGATGCACACATCCCCAGCTGCAGGCAGACAAGGTGACACCTGCCTGCCTGTTTCAGTTCTCATATGGTAAAAAAGTGTCCTTGTGTGATCTGTTTAATGCCAGGTTTGTCACAGTTCTGTACTTTTTGCTGGTGATTTCACTGTTTAAAATGGCTCGGAAGTGTGCTGGTGAAGTTCTGTCTTAGTGTTCCTCAGTCCAAGAAGGCACTGGAGTGTTCTATGTGGATCAGTTGATAAAAATGTGATTGGAAGGCTTGCAGGATCCTGATGTTGTTTTTCCCCTCGGAACAAGGGTCAGTGCTCACTCATCCAGTGCTCCTCACAATGTCACAGAATGTAACTACCATGAGGGGTGAGAGCTGCCGGTGTACACAGGAGTTGGCGAAAAGTAGGTTTATGGTTGTGAGTGCATGAAACACAATTTTTGTTGTATTCTTATTTATTGATTATTGTAGTTTTCAGGTGAACAACAGTAAACCTACTTATGCCCACCCTTGTATTAATTTAATGGCTACTGAGTGCCTAGCATCATGCTAAGAGCTATGAAAGATGAGAATATCATATACATTTATAGCAGTATATAAAAAGTTCCCAAAGCTGAGGCATAGATAAGTCTAGTTACAGGTTAACAAGTAGGAGACACTGGGATGGGCTAAAGGCATGGGAAGCCTAATGATGTCAAAATGTCCAGGCCAGGGGACTACAGTGGACACTCAATATTATCACTGAAATCAAAAATAGTCACAAAGAGGTACAGAACTCTACCAAGAAATTTGAAGCCCATTCTAGTTACTAGAGGTCAAAGGTAACAAAAACTTGAACAGATGGCTTACAGAAGAAATGCGGATGTAAATCACAGTCTGACAAGACAAAGTGTGATGAAGGAAGAAATGAGAGTATCTCGTGAGGAAGAGAGTCTCTTCACAGACTGATGACAGCGTGAAGGGAATATGCTGTAGAGCAAACCATCGAGATTGGTATTCAAAAAGAGGCTTTACAATCTTCTCTTTGTGTATTACCACAATATAATTGAGCTTTTGGCATTATTTATCTCTGGAAGGCAATAGAGAAACCAAAACACTCAAGTTCCTTTTAATTGTAAAGATGATTTTCATCTTGAAAAACTGTTTGGCTTTTTGATGTTTTTCATACATGTTATCTGAGCATGAGAAGTGGTTCAATAGAGTGGACTGTGCATTTGTCTGCAACTCAGGAAGCCCGTGATCTGATCCCTGCCTGGAATTGCACACACTTGTCCTAGACGCAGGGATAGCCATCTAATATCTTGCATTCATTAATCTATAAAACCAAAGGGTTGTATTATGGTGCTTGACACACAGTGGACACTTTGTAAATGCTTTGCTTTGAAATTCCATTCTATAGAGTAGTGAAGATAATATAACTAGCCACATTCTTATATTACAGAGGAGAAATTACATAGTTAATAGGGCAGGAAAAACTGAGACTCTCTGACACTAGACTGTAGTTTTCTTGGCTCAAGTTCTGAATTCCTTTTGAATTTTTTTTTACTAGAATACACTCTCAATGAGAGGTTAGTAAAGATTGTTAAAATGATGATGACATTATGTAGGAGCTCAAAACCACTGAGATAGAGTTTAAGAAATATTATGCCATTATTTACACGATCTCCAAGGAAGTCATGTATCCTTTCAGGTGAGTAAAAAGGTGCTTATGATCAGAAATTTACCAGCTTCCTTTGCTGAATCCAATAACATACTTCTACAACATCTGTTGAAAAAAATTAAACAACCTGGCCTTTTACTGTTCATTTGAAAGATAAACTTTTGAGAAGCTTGCATATTTTACATTCTACCAATTTCCTAATTTATATATTCACTTAAATCAGTTTTCTTTTCCTGGTTGGTATAGTTACCAATGTTGTTGAAATTGAAATCTCTAGTTAACAAAGGCATTTTTAAAAGCATACAATATCATCCATGGAAGTTCATATATAAAGTAATAATAATAATAATAATAATAATAATAATAATAATAGTTAACTGCTTGAGATAGTAACTACTAATTCTACTCTCAAGTATAGATGTTTAGAAATTATTAGTGGCTTGTGCAACATTGTGATAGTGACAAAATGCTTCTGCCTGCCACACTGTGTCTGACAAAATATTACTAGAAAAACTGCATCATGAGCTTTTTATTTTAAACTCTAAAAATACTAAACATACACAAGATAAAAACAAACAAATACCTTTGGAGGAGTCTCAGATCCTGGATACTCTCTCTGATCGAGTTTCTTCCAGCGATCCATTAGCTTGGTTACCATAGGCGTATTAAAATCCACCAGCTGGAATCCTGTAACATTGGCTCCACCGTGTATAAACCTTTCAAGAGAAATATCCTTGAATCCCTATAAAAATCAATATGACAGTTTGTTAAGTTCAGTTCACTATTATACATCTTAGCTCTTCAATGATAACAAATTAATAACAAATGTATATATAACTAGATTTCTAGTAACGTGATGATTAGAAACAGGCAGATGATACAATTATGTCAATTTAGCTATTAAATTCTGCCTTTCAAAATCTAAAACATGAGACAAATATGTAAGTGCTTTTCAGTTCAGTTGGACTTAATTTAACAAGTATTTCTTAAATTCCCCTGAATGCAGTTTTTAGAACATAGGGATAGATATAGGAAATGAATATGACATCATCAAAAAGTTGCCTGTTGAGAACATGATGGCTCTCTGGGTAGAGGTAGAAATGTGTCTATGTGGAGGTACTGCCAAGGTATCACGGTATTATGAGTCTAGCAGTGCAGTTTAGTGACAAAGTAGTTTAAAAGCAGATAGAACTGATCATCTGAGCCAGGGAGGGTAAAAGCTTTGATAATTTCAGTCACCACAGCCTTTGAGATTCTTGGAAATGGCAGTGGAAGAGAGGAGAGCAAGATTGACCATTCACGGACTCCTGTGTGGTAGGAAAAAAGATGGTGTCCAGTAGGGGGAGTGAAGGTGCTGGAAAGGAAGGGTATTATTTCTTTTGGTCTAGAGAAAGTTAACTGAATTTTAATAATACTGAAAAGTTATTTTCTATTTATCTACCTACCTACCTATCTATTACCATTTATCTTGTTTGTTTTATACCTGGTCCTGTTTTGACCCCTTAAAGTATTTAAGGTGACTTACAAAAGTACATATGCAATACAAAGTGTAAAACATAAACATGACAAGAAGAGGGCAAAAAATAATAAAACATGTGAGGGGGGTGAGTAATAAAACCAAAGATAGTAGCTCAGAGACAAGTAAACACACACAGGAACATGGGTTTTTATACCTGTATTTGTATTGCTTTGTTTTCTCTTAGATTTAGTAAAGTTTCCTTTGAAAAAGTGAATTTGATTTGATTGTGTTGTGGGAACAAAGAGAAAATGTTTTGGATTTTTTTTTTTTTTTTTAGTGAAAGTAAAATAAGCAGCAGGGACCTTGCAGTTATAACAGGAATCAGTGCAGGAATCAGGGAGAAGAAGACGACTTGGTGTTGCCACTTCTCCGAATGTGTCTACACATGTTTTTGAAAACTTATGTTTTTTTTGTTTATTTGTTTTAATAACAAAGAAGTTTGCCTTACTAGCCAATACATGCACATTACTGTTTAGCTACCTAAAAGGAAATAGACCAGTCTACCAGCAACTCAGCTATGTCGCTATGGAAAGCCCCAGGAGTGTGTACTAATAGCTAATATTGACACTGGGTTTCTGTATCAGGCACTCTGCTAAGCACATTACCCAAATGATCTAGTTTATTTCTCATAATGAGGTTACGAGGTAGGTCCTATTATAAGCCTTACATTGTAAGTAAGGAAACTGAGGCTCAGTGGGCTACAGCAACACAATTCAAGTTTACCCAGCAAACATATATTAGAGCCAAGATAACTCTTGAGTTTACCTTTTTAATCCCATGCTCCTGTGTATTGTTATACAAATATGTGTGTTTTTAACTTTGGTATTTTCATTATATCCCTAGGAGAGGCAGGGTGGTAATGCTGAGGAAAACGGTCCAGGCTCTGAGCCCACCTCAGTCCCCTTCCCACACGGACAATGACAATAGTGATGTTCACGTAGTTAGCACATCTGGTTCAAATTCAGTAAATACTATTATTAATTCATTCAACAAATATTTATTTCACATCTAATATGTGCCAGCTCCTTGGAGAGCTCATCAATAAAATTCTCATTTCAGTGGGAAGAAGTTAGATGACAGAAAGCAAATCTATATTTTTGAAATAAGGAAAACACTGTCCATCAATCTCCAGCTAGTAAAATGTCAGTCAAACATTTGTTTGCTCCTACAAGAATGTAGGGCAAACCCACAGGCAAGCAAATGATTTCAGTTTTCTAAAAGCCACAGTGATTCAACTATTGCATTAGTTGCTAATTGATGACATTTTTATTTTCTTTCCGCAGAGGCTAAAATACAAAGCCTGGCCAGCTTCCTTTCATAGCATTACCCCACAGCTGCAAAATGCACAGGCAAAGCTGCAGCCTTCTGAACAATCACCTGATGTACAGTCTGATAAACAATATTCCACATTTCTCTGATTCCATCCTGTGGCTATGATGAAGGTAAAAGAAAAGAATATTGTCATATCTGATGATAAACTCCTTCCAGTTATGATCTAAATGAAAGGTGGCTGACTCAGTTAATTTCAGCTTTGGCTGTTTGAGTACAGATGATATTGTTTCATTTTGTATATCTTTAAATAATTTTACATAGAAAATTTATAGGATCTAGACCAGGAATGTCAACCTCATTTTCACTGGAAGCCATATTAGCTTTGCAGTTGCCTTCAAAGAGCCGAAATAATTTTAGGACTGTAAATGTAACTACTCCTTAACTGTTAAGGAGTTGAAATTATATTCAGCCCTTTGAAGGCAACTGTGAAGCTGATGTGGCCCTTGGTGAAAATGAGTTTGACACCCCTGCTCTAGACCAGTGATTTTCAACCCACACACCACAAGAATTTTTAAAATATGCAATAACTGACTATTAGTCAGAAGCCACAGACTACTTTTCCCTTAGACTGTCAAATAAAAATATGACAGCAGCCAACACAACAGCTGTCCAGTGTGAATGAATCAAAATTATACCAATTTTTTGTCAGATTGGCAAAAAGTATAATATATATTTCGGTTTGTCACAGAATTTCAGTCATTAGTTTATGTGTGCCATGAGATAAAAAAGGTTGAAAATTTCTGATCTAGACTGTGAAGTAGTTTTCTCATAAACAGTCACTGAGGTGGTCATTGAGATTTCTGTTTTTACCCAGAAAATATTGTGGAGCTGAAAGTTCTCCATAACATTGTAATAAAATTGTAATTCTACATTAGGGGAGGCTAAGTACCTAAATAAACAGTGCCACTTAGTCTGGCAGCCAGGACAACAGGGAAGAGGCTTCCTACTTGTAGAAATGGGATGTTCAACAAAGCTTGCATGTCACAATGGTTAGTGACCTCCTACAGAAAGAATATCTTTCAATTTGGATTTCCTTAAATTTCCATTTTTATATATCCTCTGAGGGAAAAGGGGAAAAAGAAAATTCATGAATTATAGGCTTTCGGATAATCTGACAACTATTGATATAAACCTACATAGGTCCATCATATCATAAATTGTATCTAATTCAGAAAACATCTGTGCTGTTTTGCCTTTCAGGTTCACTGGTTATGTAAATCATTGAGGCAGCTCTGGTGCAATTAACAGAAAGAGAAGGTCAAGTAGAATGAGAAACATTCACTCTTAAATTCACACTTAAAATATAGGTTGTTAAGAAGTTGATTAATGTATGCATTTTTTAAGATCAAAGTAGGTAGCTGGTGGAGTAGAACATATTCAGTGAAGAAAAGTTGAAAAATACAAGAAACACAAAGAAAAAAAATAAAGCAATGTCTTCAAGTTCATGGTCTCTTAAGTGGGGCTATTGCATTTGAGTAAAAATGTGTTAGACTGCAAATTTTGGGAACTGAGTTCTAGTTCCCATTTGATACTAACCAGATGCCTAAATGTGGACAAGGACTTTACTATCTGCAGTCTTAATTTTCCTACCTTATAAATGAGGAATAAATGGTTTGTGCATGTGTGTGTCTGTGTGTGGTTTGGTGAGAGTTAGATAAGGAAGAGATTTAGTTAATCTTTAGTGATATACTATAAGCATTCTATAATCTTATTCTTCTTTATGACAAATCCAGGTGTTTTCCAGATGTAAACTGAATATATTTTAAAAACTGAAAATCTAAATAGCACAATTTTAACAATTTGCCTTGCGGGTGGAACAATTGTCAACAGTTCCTCCTTGCTCTTTATTGGTGGCTGTTTAAATCATCTGACTGCTGGAGGAGGGGTGAAGAAAGATTTAAATAAAAATACAGAGAACGTGTGTAAGGCCAGATCCCCCCTTGAGAAGGCATAGGAGATGTTTAAATGTATGGTCACTTTGTAATAATGTAACTGTTTGCTAATTTTGAATTTATTTATTTAAATTTATTTATTATTTGGCATCAGATAAGACAGAGTTTCAACCTTGGTTTTGAGACTTAGGATCCCTGGGATCTCGGATAAATTACAATATGTAAAATAAACATCTATTTTGAGAATTAATTAGAACAATTACAGGAACAAAATAATACTGTGATGTAAGCAGGGTGCTAGAGAGGGCCCTTTTTATAAGGTCAACAAAGACATTATTCCTGACTTAATGAGCCTGCAGTGTATTAATGTCTTATTGCAGCTGAGCCACAAAATGTTAGACAATACCTGGTACAGAGGTGATGTAACATTTACACAGTGGAATACTACTCAGCCATAAAAACAAGAAACTTTTACCCTTTGCAACGGTATGTATGGACCTGGAGAACATTATGCCAAGTGAAATAAACCAGTCAGAGAAAGACAAATACCATATGATTTCACTCTTACATGGAATCTAATAAACAAACTGATCTAACAAGAAAAAAACAGAGACAGACTCATAGATGGAGAGTAAATCACAGCTAATGGGGTGGAGGTTATGGGGTGGGAGAATTGAGCAAAGAGGGAAAAGTACTCAAGGACAGGGACAACATTGTGGTGGTTACTGGAGGGAGTATAAGGGGGACAAACAGTAATGGAAAAGTGCAATAAAGATTAATTGAAAAAATAAAAAACCAGTAATTTCATGAATAAAAAAATAATGAAGGCATTCTATACTATTGTTGTATAGGGTGATATGTGAACCCAATAATAGGTTTAGCGGATTAGGCATGTAAGAACAGCTTCCTAGAAGTGGCTGTTAATTAGAACTGTGTAAGGTAAGTGCCTCCTGGTGTAGACAACACATAAATTAAAGCTGGGAAGATCAAAGCAGCAGT